CTCGCCATTAAGCTGTTCACCTTTTTCCTGCAGTGATCAATCGCCACCGGATCCCGCGCGTGCCGCCATCGACACCTTGGGACAATCTCCGACCACACTAACATAACCCCCGGAAGCAGGTCCCTCAATTTGTTGATGTCCTGCTTCATCCACTTTACCAACCGACGTTGTGGCGTGAGGCCCAAGTCGTTACCCCCAGCATGAAGGACCACCATGTCCGGTGTCCTCCCGCCCACCACCATCCTAAACATTGCCCCACAAACCTCCCCCCAGCAAAATCCCCTGTACCCAAACCATCGGACTGTCAACTGGTCCTTCGGAAAGCCCAGCTGCTGGCCCTGCATTTGAGCTGCGGCCCTCCTCTCGGCCCAGAAGACAAAAGAATGTCCCACAATCCAAGCAACCCGTCCTGGGGAGAAGAAGAAAACAAGCATGAGGGAAAGGCAAAAGAGGACTCCTCCGTCCATGTCCACCCCCGCACCATATCTATACATACACATATATAAACATATACCTACCCAGACATGTACCTTTTTTTATTTTTTTATTTTTTTATTATTCCAATAAGCCCAACCGCACATATGAGCGGAACCGCACCGACTCCCATCTCCCTATGCGCTTCACGACCTCATCTCCTAATCCCAACCGTGCGGCCTCCGTGGCCGCCCCAATGCGAAAGGAGTGAGTACCAAAACGTCCGGCCGGAAGCCCCAACTTACCTAGCCCGGCCCGAAAAACCTTTGTAAACTGAAACCGGGACAGGGAAGAACCATCCGCATGTACCAAGAAGGAACCCCCCACCGCCGGCCTCCGAGCCATGTACTCCGCCACTGCAGCCACCGGGCACAATGCTGCGCCCGGCAGAGCCCATAGCGTAACGTCCCTACCCACGCCACGGGCGTCCGTCTTAGAACTACCCAGATGCACAACCACCTTACCCTCCAAAACACGAACCCCTGAGGCCTGCAGACCCCCGGGCACCACCCTACTGGCACTCACCAGCTCCCCCACGCGGAACGCCCCGAAAAATGCCAAGAGAAAAGCCGCTCTGAACAGAGAGACCTCAAACCCGTTGAAACAAATTTCCGGCAACCGACCCACCAGATCCCCCAATACCCGTACCGACACCGGGCGCCTAGAGTCACAGGTCCTGCGGCCCTTTCGATAACCCTTCAGCGCCTGCCGTACTAGGAAGGTCTTAGTCAGATCCTCCGACCCGCGCCATCGGAACCAGAACGCCATTGCCGCCATGGACCTGTCGACCACTGCCGGGGACGCCCCCTTTGCCAGCAATTGGCAGGTGTACCATAGAAAAGCGTCCCGCAGCGCATCCCCACGTAAGCCATGCTCCAACCCGTCTAATGATCGTTCCCAAGAGTCCCAGACCTTACTGTAGGAGGCCCATGTGGCCGGTGCCAGTGAAGCCTTCACAAGTCCCCCAAGCAGGACGCTCCCAGCTGCCATATCTCGTCCGGGCAAGCCTCCCCTTCCTTCAATGCTCCTGGCGCCATCGACCAAAATCGGGACCACTGAAAACGAGACAGAGCGTCAGCCACCTCATTCAGGTACCCAGGGACATGACGCGCGCGAAACACAACATTCCGTGACATACACATCAACACAAAGCGCCGCAGCAACCTAACCACCGGCTTAGAGGCAGCCGATTGATTATTCACCGCATGCACCACCGCCATGTTGTCCGAGAAAAAGACCACTTTCTGGTCCCGGAGCCCCTCGCCCCATAGTGCCATTGCAACGACCAACGGGAATAATTCCAGAAAAGCCAGGTTGCGCATGACTGGGCTAGACCCCCATGCCTCCGGCCACCGCTCCGCGCACCATCTCCCGCCAAAGTAGGCCCCGAAGCCCACACTACCCGAAGCATCCGTGAAGAGCTCCAACTCCGCCGCCGACTTACCCGCCCGCCTGAAAAACACCGTCCCATTGAACTCCTGCAGGAAGGCATCCCACACGCCCAAATCAGCCCTCATGGTTGCTGACACCCGTATGAAATGATGCGGGGATCGAACTCCTGCCGTAGCAGCCGCCAGGCTGCGGCTGAAAACCCTCCCCATAGGAATTACACGGCATGCAAAGTTCAGCATCCCTATTAGCGACTGCAGTTGCTGCAGCGTAACTTTGCGCGCAACGGTCACCGCAGCTACCGCCCCCTTGAGCCCCTACAACTTGTCCGGAGGCAGTCGGCATTCACCCAAGATAGAATCTATTTCTAACCCCAAGAAACTAAGGCACGTCGTCGGGCCCTCCGTCTTATCCGCTGCCAGCGGCACCCCAAAGTGGCCCGCCACCCATTCCACGGTCCTAAGCAGTTGCTGGCATGCTGAGGAGGCAGCCGGCCCCACGCAAAAGAAATCGTCCAGGTAGTGCACCACCGAACGGTTCCCCGCCTCGACCCGCACCACCCATTCGAGAAAAGTACTAAATTTCTCGAAATAGGAGCATGAAATAGAACAGCCCATAGGGAGGCACAAGTCCACGAAATATTTTCCCTCGAAAAAACATCCCAACAGGTGGTGGCAGTCCGGGTGGACTGGCAGCAGCCGAAACGCCGCCTCAATATCCACTTTTGCCATAAGTGCCCCATGCCCGGCCCGTTTAACCAGCTCGACCGCCCGGTCGAATGATGCATACGAGACCGAGCATAGGTCCTTATCAATACCGTCATTCACCGACTCCCCTTTTGGGTAGGAGAGGTGGTGAATGAGCCGGAATTTCCCCGGCTCCTTCTTTGGCACCACCCCAAGAGGGGAAACCCGTAGGTCCTCCAATGGGGGCACCGCAAACGGGCCCGCCATCCGCCCCAGCGCAACCTCCTTGTCTAGTTTCTCCCGTACCACCTCCGGGAAATCCGCCACCGACTTCAGGTTGCGCAACCCCCCCGAAACCCCCCGCTCCCGGAAGGGAATAAAGAAACCCCGCCCGAAGCCTTCCCTAAGTACCGAGGCATCAGTCCTGTTACCGTAGCGGCTTAGCCATGGCTCCACCGCGTCTAGCCTCACCGGCGTGAAGCCCCGGGGCAGGGGAAGCATTCCCTCCGGCCCCGGCAGCCGCTCCGGCTGTTCCCGCCTTCCCTTTTTTGAAACAGCGATTGAGCCCATGAGCACCCCCGCAACCGGAGCACTCATGCTTAAATCGACACGCGTTTCCCCATTTGCACTGGCCCTCATTGTAGAGCCAGCAGAAGCCCTTTTGCAAAGCGGCCGACGAGGCGGACTGCCCCTTCGCGCCAGCCGAGTTTGGAAAGGGCTGCGCCTTCTGGGCCATCATTAGCTTCATCCAGAGGGGCAGATCCATCTGATCCCACCTCATCCCTGGGTTAGCCGCCAGTCGCTGCCTAAACTGTTCATCGTATCGCCACCATGCCAGCCCCCCATAGGTGCGATATGCTTCCCAAATGCCGTCCAGGTAGCAGAACAGGGACGAGCATAATCCCGGCGATTTTTCCCCCAGCACGCTAGCTAGCACGCAAAACGCCCGTAACCAGTTGCCAAAGGATTTCGGAATCTTGCGATACCGCTTCCTCTTCTCCTCCTCCTCCTCCTTCTTTTCATCCTTTTTATCCTCCTCCTTGAGGTCAATAAAGTCCTCCAAGGGGAGCAGGGAGAAGATCTCGCAGAACTCACCTTTCCAGAGCTTCTCTTTCACGTCCTGTTTCAGATGAACCCCCAGGGGGCCCGCAAACGAGACGTATGCGTGCTGCCTCGCTGCATCCGGAATACCTCCGGCCAGTTCCGCCTTGTCACCCCCGGCCGCCATCGCCTCGGGCGCCACCCCCACGTCCCCGCCCGAACTAAGCCCCACGGAAACCCCACTAGGACCGGGGACCTCCGTCCCAGGGGCCCAAACCCGACCAACGCCACCCCCCGTGTCACCCCCCGCCCCCAGCGAGTGGAGCAGTGCTTGCAGTGTGCTAACTAAGGAACTGGAGTGTAGTGACCCACAAGACTCACCGGCCAAGCCCCCTGCAACTGACGCGGCAGGGGCTGCGTCGTCGACCGCCCGATGTCCAGGGAGAGCGACTCCCGCCGATGCCTCGCCAACCGGGGAGCCAAACCGGTGCCTTGCCCGTGTCGATATGGAACAGCTCCGTGACCTGGAAAGAGGAGAAGAAGTCCTGGGTAGGGTGCACTGAGTATTCGCATCCCCCCCCGTCTCGACCCTGGGAGCGCCTGCCCATTGCCAAAGCCTCCCGCTGTGCCCCCTGTACACGCCGCGCGCGGGAGCCCCTAGGGCTACGGCTCCTCCTGTTTTCCCCGGGCATACGTCCCCGCCGACCACCCCTGGGGACGCTAGACCCGCTCTCTCCCGAGCTCCCTGACCTAGAGCGGCGCTGCCGGGACCTCCCCCTCCCCCCCCTCTTCCCCCGTGGCTCTACTTCCCGAACCGGAGAGGGACTACCACTACAGGACCCTGAACCGGACCCCCCCCCTCTACTACCCTGCACCCCCAAACGCTCACCCCTCCGGCTAGAGCCCAACCCCCCACCTGAACTGGCTCCCAGACTAAGGGGACCTAGACCCCCCTCAACCAGACTGGCCCCCCCAACCCCTAAACCAGGCCTACCCGACCCTACCCGCACCGGCCTAGCCCCAGAGCCCAAGGAGGCCCCCTTTCCCCTACTGGGGGAGCCCAGCAGTCCCTCCTCACCCACAACCCCCCCACCCCTACCACTACTCCCCCCACCTATGACCCCTATGCCCTCCCCATCCACCACCCGCGGTCCCTGGGAGGCCTTCCCACCCCCCACTTGGGCCCTCCGCCCTCCGCCCCCTGACAGGACCACCCCAGCACTTTTCCCGCCAAGAGGGCCCCGGCCGGAGCCCCCTGCACTTGCCTTTGGGGCCGGGAACCGGCCACGTGTCCTCCCGGTCCCGGCCCTGCCGATCTCCGCCTCCATGCTGCCCGCTCCTCCAGGGGACCGCCCGGCCACGTCCGACCCGGCAGCCGCGACGGCCCCGTCCCGACCGTCCCCCCGGCGCCGGGCACTGGTCCTAGGCTCCGGCCGCTCGCGGGGAGGCGGGGCCTCTACCACGCGGCTGCCGGGCCTGCTGCCGCCCGCACCGGAGCCTCCCGGACCACCAGGGATGTCTTCACCGGGTCCCACACCCAGGCTTAGCCGCTCCGGAGGCCTCCTGGCCCGAACAGGCCGTCGTCCGCCGCCGTCCTGGCCCTCCGCCGCCGCCAGGGCCGGGCCTAACTGGGCCTTCAGCCAGTCAGCCCCCTGGTGCCTCGCCGCCGACCGGATCCACTCCAGCAGTCGCTCCACTTCATCCATCGGCCCTGCAGGGAGACAAAAGAGGAAAAGCCCTACCAAGCCAAATCTGTGCCCACAGGAGCGGACACAAACTTAACCAGGTAGGAAGTTAAAATGAATTAACTAAAATGGCTACCCATTTAAATAACCAAACCCACTTACCCATAACTCCACTCCCTTGCTTACTTCCTCCTAGGCCCGCCTCCTAACCCCTGTCAAGGCCTTTTTCCGCTTAGCTGCGCTTGGCTACATGGGGCTACACACTATGCAGTCACTACACACCCTACATCCTTACACAAACACACACTTTGCAGTCACTACACACACTACATGCTTACACAAACATACACTCTGCATTTACCACACACACTACATCATTGCACAAACACACACTCTGCAGTCATTATACACACTACAACCACTACACAAACACTCACTTTGCAGTCAATATACAGACACTACAACCACTACACAAGCACACACACTGCAGTCACTACACACACTGTAGCGGATGGCACTGGGCTGTCCTGCAAATTTCATGTGAATAACTGCATTCGTGTAACCTGCTTGTTTATATGTGTTTAAAAAAAATGTATTCCCCTGATTGTTCGGTAGAATCATTCGAATAAACTAAGGGAATGAAACTACCGAACAACCAGACCCCCCCTGTGTGAAGTGTGCCTTCAATTACCCGTTGCAACAATGTTGCGAATGGGTAATTGACGAGCTATGCAGGAGGTCCTTTGTCTCGGGGTGGCCGCCATTCGGGAAACGAACACGTGGTAGCGGCCATTTTACAACCTCCCGAACAGCGATGTTTTGCCGTCGAGTGTCTGGAACCCAAATCGGACACTCGACTAGGCGAACACCGCTGAGACCGCCATAAGCCCGGTCCGTTCGGTTCCAACCTACCGAACGGCCCCTCGTTCGGTAGACAGAAACAACCGAACGAGGGGATTCATGTGAATCCTACCTCATCTCTGTAACCCTAGCCGTTCATGTAAATCATTCCCTTATACTGTGACCGACCACAGGGCCCCATTGCATGGAACCCAATTCGGCTGTTCTATCCAGCGCGGTCGGTCTTTTTAGTACCTCCATAAATTTCCCGAACCCCTGGCCCAATCTGGGTGATTTTTGGATATGTTGCTCACCCAGATGAGGGCTACCAGGGGATGTGCCATTTAAAGGGGTACCCCTAGGTTTAGGGGTACATCCAGGAATTGGGGGAATTTGGGTACAGTATAAGGGGATTATGATGCAGGCTGAGGGGAGGAGGTGTGTGGGAGGTTACTAATGCCGGATTGGGTAATGTACTAATTGTGGAAAATCCCTCCCTTGCATGGGAGCATGCTATATAAGGCACTGTGGAATAAAGGTTGTCAGTTCTGCTCCTGAAACTGTGTGTCGTCCAGTTATTGGGATTGCTGCTGGGATACTGCTGTGTTATTTTGCCTGCTGGAAACCTTGCCTGTGGATTTACAATTTACTTGTTCCTGAGCCTCACTTGGATTATAAGTGGAGATAGCCTGGGGAATCTTGTATCTCCGCTACATTGGTTGGCAGCGCTGGGATCCAGACTCACAAAGGAACAAGCATAAATGGAGTACGGATGGAGATTGATTTTGCTACGCTAAAATGCTCCACGTTAAAAGACCTCCTGGAGGCAAGGGGTATACAAGCCAGCAACAAGAAGAAAGCGGTACTCATTACTGAACTTATGGCAGAGTACCGAATGGATGGTGATTCGGTTCCCGAACAGGGGGATTCGGGAGAAACACAGGAACAGATGGAGTTCCAGAGGCAGCTACAATTTAGGCTGTCTTTTTATGGGGAACACCCTCCAGCAGAGATTATTTCAAAGACTATGACAGAGGTCCAGGAATTTATCTTAAGGAAACGGACAACAGCAGCCCCAGAATGCAGCTCTGCAGTAAATGTGCCACAAGAAGGTAAGCCTAAGATACCATACCAAGCTTTTAAAATGTGGAGGCAGAGGAAGATATAGATGCTTTCCTGCAGGATTTTGAGAGGCTGTGTGCCCTGCATAGAATCAGCGCAGAGGAATGGGTACCTATTTTGGCAGGAAGATTAACTGGGAGGGCAGCAGAGGCATATCGTACTGTACCCAATGAGGAAATACGGAACTACAGTAAAGTAAAATAAATTATACTGGCCAGGTATGCTATAACACCAGAAGCATACCGGCGGAGATTCAGGGATTTAAAGAAGGTGGAGAAAGACTCACACGCAGAGTGGGCATGCAGGTTACAAAGGGCAGCACTCGGGTGGGTGCAAGCTAGCAAGGCACGGTCCATGGAGGATGTAATACAGATGGTGCTGATGGAGCAATTCTATGAGGGAGTAACCAGCGGAGTGGGTAAGGGACAGAAACCCTACCTCCCTCACCGAAGCTGCCAGGTGTCACGTATTCATCCGCTTATAGAAATGTGGTTAATGACATTTACTGTCCACACAGGAAAAGTTGTGCCGAGCAGCAACCTAATCCACAGAAGGGTTTATGCTGAGCAGTAATTGTGCAAATGAAACCTGGTGTCATGTATTCATCCGCTTAGAGAAAAGTGATTAATGACATTTACTGTCCACACAGGAAAAGTTGTGCCGAGCAGCAACCTAATCCACAGAAGGGTTAATGCTGAGCAGCAATTATGCAAATGAAACCTGGTAACTGACTTTGGGGTCAAAGGCTGGTTACAGCCTATCAGAACTAAAGGAGGGGTATTTAGGCCCAGTCCTCAGCCTGCTCAGTGCCCTGTCGTGGTTTCCCTTGTGGTTGTCTGAGAGCGCGTTCCTGTTTATAGTTTTCTACCTGGTTTTTGACTTTGGCTTTGTTTATTGACTTCTCTATATTCTGGTATCCTGACTCCTGGCTTTCCTCATCGCTGTGTCCCTTTCTGTGTTCCCTGACCTCGGCTAGTATTTTTGACTATTCTTTGTACGTTAAATCCGGCCATTCTAAGGACCGGTAATACGTTACTTATTTGTCATCCGTGCTGTACAGTTCTACGTGCTGGATCAAACAGTAATCCTGACATTACGACATGGCCATAGATCCTGTAGAACTGTGTCAGCGCATAGCTGCTTGCGAGAGGAAATTAGAGGAGAATGATCACCACATGGATCAATTCACTCAGGCTTTAAGTACGCTTCTCGCTAGAATGGAGCATCTGCAGCCTGCTGTCAGGATTGTGACAGGGATCCAATACGCAGAGTGCGGACAGGAGGAGGTACGTATACCGGACCTTAGAATGGCCGGACTAACGTATAGACAAGACAAGAATGGTCAAAAGGTAAACCGAGGTCGAGGGAGCCGGAGGACAGGTAAGCGAGGAACAAGCCGGGTCTAAGGAGAGGAGAGAGAAGCAGGACAAAAGTACAAGCCAGGTCAAAAACCGAAAAACACAAAGAGAGAAATGCGCTGAGTGACTAGCAAGCTAGAACCACGACAGGGCAATGAGCAGTAGTAAAAGCTTCCCTTAAATACCCTGTCACCTTAATTATGACCATGCCCCCAAAAGGTCCGGAATTGCGGTTCCCGGCGGTTCACGTTGATGATGACGTCATGACGTCGACGATTGGCCATCGCGTCATAAAAGGGGGAGGAGCTAGCGCGGCCAGCGCGAAAACGGCCGAAAATGCCGAAATGCTTGGGCATAGGAGCCCCTTAGGAAGAGAGACTGACCTCCTCAGAGGTTGAAATTACAGGTAACATGACACCTGCAGCGTCTCCTCCTATAGCACCTCTACCCTGTGTACCTCCACCCACTGTTAATAGGACTCCTTGCATCTCCTTATCACCATCCCTACAGTTTGATGGCAATATCCAGGAATGCAGGGGTTTTCTTAATCAGGTGGAGTACCATTTTGAGGCCTCACCAGGGTCATTCCCCACGGACAGAGCAAGAATTGGTTATCTAATGAATCAATTAAAGGGCAAGGCCCTTGCCTGGGCTAATCCGTTGTGGGAGAGTAATCGGAGCATAGCTCATAATTACCAGGAATTCCTTGCCGAATTCAAGCTCACGTTTGAGCCATTGGGTAGAGAGGATGACGCCTCCACTGCCCTAATGCACATCAGACAAGGTAACCGGTCTATCTCGGATTATGCTATTGAATTCCGTACCTTAGCTTCCGAGGTAGACTGGACTAACAATGGGTTAATCTCAGCATTCAAAAAGGGTCTCTCAGAGACTATACTAGATGAGATAGCCGCTAAAGAATTACCTAAGAGTCTTAACGAATTTATTACGTTTGTCATGCATATTGATAATAGGTTAAGACTCAGAGAAGTCACCAGAAGCAAGACCAGACGTACGGCTATGTCCCTAGCACCTCAATTCTCTAAACCTGTTTTGTCTAACCTCCCTGTACAGTCCGAACCCGAACCTATGCAGTTGGGGTCACTAGACTGTCAGAGGCCGAAAAACAGTATAGGAGAAGGGAGGGGTTATGCCTATATTGCGGTAGAAAGGGACATATGATAACTAATTGTCCAGTGCGTCCGGAAAACTTCCGCACCTAAGAACCTTAAGGGGACAGATCTTAGGTGTGATGGAGTTGTCCTCTAACAAAAACAAAAGTAGATTCCTCCTTGAGGTATCTATTTCCCTTGATAACAATAGGTTTTCTTGCAGTGCCCTAATGGACTCAGGTGCTGCTGGAAATTTTATTGATGTCCAGTTTATTAGGGGTAATGAGATACCGGTCAGGGAGAGACCTACGCCGCTAGCTGTAGAGGCTAGTGATGGTAGACCACTCACACAACCGCTTATAACCCACGAAACTGTCCCTATTACGATCTCCATTGGGGCCTCCCATAGGGAGGAGATGACGTTTCAGGTTATTACTTCTCCATCATGTCCTATCATATTAGGGTTTCCGTGGCTGAGTAAGCACAATCCCTATTGACTGGGCTAATGGGGAGATATTAGAATGGGGTAAAGAGTGTATGGGGAGATGTATAAAACCAGTA